AAATCCAGGGGACCTGCCAGCCGCCCCATCACTGTGACCTTTCATTTTGCTGCTTTCAAGTTTCCTAGGGAGATGAGTCTTTAAAACAGGCCAGATGCTTAGTCACTTTCCTGGAGGTGTGAGCACCCAGTGAAGACAGAATAAACCTAACTTTTCTTGATTTGTCCATACTTTAAATATATCAGGCACGAAGATTTTTAGGAGCAAACTACATTGTATCTGATACGTTTTTATGTTTCTCTCCTAAAAAAAGTGACATACACTAAGCTTAAAGCACTAAAAATCAAAGTACAGGTGGACGTTTCAGCTTCTCCTAAGACGTCTGCTGTTCCGCCGTTCGCGCCCCCTCCTCGTCTCCGAGGTTCGTAAGATCGGGCATCTCCACGGCTGGTGCACAGGCAGACAGGGCTCCTGGGAAAACGGGGCTCCATCAGCCACCGTGAGGGACGTCCTAGACCCTGCACACAACCTCGACCGGATTTCATAGAACAGGGTGGTTTCTGTGACGTGGCCAGCTCACAGTGTGGCCAGTGCTGCTCCCAGAAACAAAGCCTTTTGGCCCCGGAGGTCCCCAGTCCCACGTGGGGTCCCCGGGAAGCGGCTGCTGTGAACGAACGGGCTCTGGTATGTCTGGCAGTCTCATCTCATGACCTGCGCTCGGACCCCTGGTGGGTCCCAATCTGGGCAATGATGGCACGTGCTCTCTCCCCGCCACCTGCTGTGACAGGATCACCCGCAAGAGCCACATGAGGCTCTCAGTGATGCAGATAGGGGTAGTCCCCGTCTATGGAAGGGATTCCCAGTGTAACAGAGGACCCTGCTAAGCTAAATGAGCTAGAATAAGAGGAGTTTTGTGTTTCGTTTTTCAAATACCACCGTCTGATCAAGCAACATCTGGAAAGCTGTTTGAGAGCGTAAGTCTTCTCCACTTGGGTGGGTCTCCTCTCCTGAGCGAGGGGAGAAGGCGGCAGCGACAAGGTCTGAGCAAGATCCTGCGTTTTCTCCTCCCTACAGGCCAGGCCAACTGCAGGCGAGCCGGGGAGGCGGGGTGTGGGGGGAAGGCCCAACAGCGGAAGCAGCAGCACCTGGCTGTGAGCAGCACCCTCCCGTCTCAGGGGACGGCTCCGCGGCAGCACCAGAGACAGCGATCCCCCCCACACACACACACACCCCATGGGCCGCCTGCGTGAGCTGCGAGGGTGCAGTGTGAGGACTCGGAGCCCCACAAGGGCGGGCGGGCGCCCGTGGACACAGACCTACCCCAGCGGAGTGCACCAGGCACTTGGGCACCCCGGTCGTGCCCGAGGAGAACAAGATGAAGAGGGGATGGTTGAACGGCAGCTGCGTGAACTCCAGCTGGGGCGCTCGGTCCCCTCTCCCAGCGGCGAGAAAGTCGTCCAGAAACACACTGTGGGCAAAACACACGGGGGGCAAACCATGAATGCTCCAGACGCTGGCCGGGTCCACGAGGCCTCCGGGACTCACACCCCTCCAGCCTGCCTGGATGACAGCCCCGGGCTCCGGGGGGGCACGAGACTGGAAGGGAGGTGTCCCGCAAGGCAGCGGAGAAGCCAACACCCAAATTCACGCCAAGTGGGGGGAAGCTGCGTCAACGAGGGCAAAGGTCACGCTGCTGTGTGAGTTCCGTGGACAAGGCCAGGGCTGTCCGCTGAGAGCCTGAAAGTGCTCCAAGTCCTGCTGACGTTGCTATTGGTGAAGGGGACCTGGGAGGGCTGCCGGCGGGGCGCCCACGCGCTCTTCCTGTCCGCTGCTAACCGGCTCCTGCCAGGCCCTCGTCTCCGTCCGTCGCCCAAAGGGAGGCCTGGGCCAAGGCGGCCTGAATCGTGTTGCTTTCCCCACCGGGAGAGGGGATGGAGCAGGCATGAGATTCGAGAGCTTTTCCCGTGTGTGAAGATCACAGCAAGAAGGGCGGGGTGGGGAGGCCAAGATCCGAAAACCACATTTTCTATGACAGAAAAGCTGCCGGGCAAACGTCAGCGTCATCGCTCGTCTCCCCGCCCTTAGGAGGCACACGCCAGACACATGTTTGTCCAGGAACAAGAAAAAGGAAGGCCAGCTACTGACGTGAGCCTAAGAAATCTGCCCCGCCTTGTCCCCGAGGCTGGCCTGAGCACCGTGCCTGTGGCCAAGAAGCACGGGGGCCACGGGCAAGGGGCTTGTTTTCTGAGCGGGACGTGGGCAGCGGAAGCCGCACAGCCGTCCAGGGAGAGGCGGCGGGTCCCCTACTTTGAGGTCTGCAGAAAGACGGATCCGAAACACTGGCCTGGTTCCTCTGTAGGTGTAAAAGGGGGCGGGAACCGCCATTTTGACAAATGGAACTTTCTTTCAGGGAAGGGGAAGAAATCAGTTAAACTCAGCCCGCAGTGATCTGCAGAGGATAATTACTCCGAAACTCAGACGGCGGCTACGCGGTGCTGCAGAAGGCCCCCGAAGGCGGGTGTGTCCGGGGAGGCACAGCGCTTTAAAGAGGGCATCGAAATAGCTAATCTCCGTCTCTGAGCAGTAAGCAAGGCCTCCTGTGACAGAGTGCCAGGAACGCGACTCGCTTTGGGACCGCCCGGCCAGCGGCAGCCCCGCTCCCCCGCGGGCTCCACTGCCTGCTCCGTGGAACCTCATTCTCACGCAGTGCCCAAGCGAACCAGAATGTACCCAGAGAGGCAGCTTTGCTTTCAAATGGTCTATAAGTCTCAGTAAATAGTGACTGCTTTTGTTGCTCTTCTGAAAATGCAAAGTCCAGGGTGGGGAGTCCCCAGTTCTGTCTTGGCACCGGCAGCCAGCAATCAAGGAGCGGCGAGGGGGGTCTCATTCACAGGGTTTCGGAGGGGAGGCGTTGCCCCGTGTAAAGCTAAATGAAGTGGCTAACGTGCTTCTCCCGGATGCTCGCGTTCTGTATCAGGTACTGACGGACACACGCGGAGTAGCCAAAGCCAGGCACCGGGGCCTCGAGCCCATCTGCTTTTCCCTCTGACCTCAGTGTGGCTGGCGCCCGCCATAAAAGCAGGGAGCTATTCTCAGCTTCAGGAACTGAGACCCAGCCTCTGGTCAACTGGCTGTAATTGACTGAGGTTGGCAGAGTTCCCACAGTCCCGGGGCCAAGTTCAGGGCCCTGGGCCCACCTGTAAGGACCTGCACATCCCAATGCCCATACTCCAGGGGACAGAGCCCGCTCCCACGTGCAGCTGTCCCCTTCTCTTGACAGTATTACGGAGGGCTAACTAACGCACTCCGTCCAGCCTCCACATACTAGCTCCCCACAGCCAGCCTGCGAGGGAGGGACTTCATCCCCATTTTGCAGACAGGGAAACCAAGGCACAGAGAGGCTGACCACGTGCGCCTCCACAATCTGGCTCGCGACGACAGCCCTCAAGCAACAGTCACTTTGCGCGCAGCCTCCTTCCGCCTCTGGAATCCTGGCGCACACAGCTCTCTCCAAATCCTGCTCTTTCGAGGTCCCCTCAGGTGCCACCTTCCCAGATCTCAAAGGTAAGCAACACCACCCAGCTCTCAGCTCCTGGTATTGCCTGTCCCCTCTGTGAGCACAGCTGTGTCCCCTGGGCCTGGTGCCACGGCTCATTCTCCCTGCAAGAGTCCCCTCCCTCTTACTTGACTGCAGGCCCTTAAGGATAGCACAGAGGCTGGGTCCTCCCAGTGGCCCAGGGCACCCTGCACAAGACCACTCGGCCAGCTGACAGCCTGGGTAAGAGAGCCTCTGCAGCTCCGCACCCCCCACGGCAGGCACAGGACTTCTGTGCCTCTGCAGCCACTTCTCACGTGGCCTCACGGGGCCACTCACGAGGCCCCTGCCGTGGCCCAGGCAGGAGGCTGAAGGGAAAGGTTTACCTGCAAAGGTAAACACGCCTGATCTCGAAACTCTCTCCCAAAACTGCTTTCAGAAAAAGGAAAGCAGTATAACTCCAAGAATTCAGGGACGAATTCGACTTTGAGCAAACCATAATCCATTCCTTGATTTCTACTCAAAATTAAGATGGGTACAATCCTATCTGGTACCCAAGGCAGGTGGTGTATCAGCTTACGAATGTCAGAATGGCAAAGGAAGGCACCATTAGCGATGGGGACAAAAACAGGTTCTAGACAGGAAACACGTGTGTGCATGTGTATACATGCATACGTGCATGCATGTGTGTGTGTGTAGGCGCCGCACTTATGTACACACCTATCGTGTGGACGTGCGTGCACAAGTGCTCACACGCAAGTGTGCGTACGCATACACACAGTGATTGTCATTTAGAGCTGCTGTGGCTGATCCAGGCCTGGCCAGACAGGAAGAGGGAGCACGCCTGGGAGCCCCTCTGTCCTGCCACTAATTACGTGGCCTTGGGGAAGTCACTCTGGGGCCTCAGCGCCCATCTACAAAGCAGAGATTTTAACGAAAACTTCCTCCTGCATCTTTAAAACACTGCGACGCCACGTGGGAGGAGCCACGGAATCCATGGCCGGTGGGACACGGAGCAGGCGCCACACGGGACCAGCGGTGGGTGCCTGGCTGACTTACCTGTTCGGTATCTTCGAAATGTCTATCTTGTCTCTAGAGGTAACGTAGGGGATCACGACCACTTTTTTCAAATCTGACAGTCCTGATGGAGAAAGGAAAGCAGTTACAGGACACGAGATACTTAGTTGCTGATATTTTTTTTTTACAGAATATAACACGGTGTAGAGACGGGGCTACGCAGTCATTTTTGCAGTTTGCAGCTTCGAGAGGCCTCCGTGACTCCTGGAGGTGGGGGTCTCATCTCTGCACCCATCCCCCGCCATGCCAGCTCAGGCGGGAGCGCCACACACCTTTCGTGACCTGCTGCACCTTGTCCAGGTGGCTGTGCTCCTTGCCATTGAACACAACGGCCTCCACAGAGAAGATGAGCTTCGGCCGGATTTGGGAGCACCGGTCCAGAACTCCCTGAGGAGGGAAAGGGAGGAATCGTCACCGCCCATCCCAGTGGCGAACGCCTCGGCGGCCAACGACACCGCCACTCTTCGAGGGAAAGAAAAAGTGGCACTCTGGGTGCGCCAGCCCCGTCCCTGTGTCCCCATCATCCAGCAGCCAGTAAAGAGAGCCAGGCAAAACACGGCGCGTGCGAGATGACCACCACTTCAAGGAAGGCACCGCTATACTGACGGGACATGGAGGGCTGACGGACACCGACAGTCACAGGCGCTCGCACTGCCGAGGAGATTCCCCTTCTCCAGATGGAGCCTTGCAACACAGCTCCCCGGCACATGTACTAAGGACCCGCCTTCCAGACAGGCAGCTATAGCTCTGCCAAGTGGTTCTATATTTTAGCTCTCTTTCAACCTTCGATCTAAAAGGTACCCGAATTCTCCAAATAGTACTTTCTGCCAATCAAATGCATGAACCACGAATGTGTATGTAGGAAATAAGCCCTGTTTTAAAAAGCGGGCTCACCGCCCACGGGACCCGCCGAGCACACCTCTTTCCCCGAAGGCAGGTGTTGAAATTGTTTCCGCAACTGATGTGAACAGACAGGCGTAGCCTCACGACACACTCGACACAACCTGAGTGTCACCGCACGGGTGACAGGTTAGAGCATCTCGGATGGGCCTTCCTTGCCTTCCTTCCCAGCCGCCCCAAAGCTCAGACGACGGTGGAGCCTTTCCATCCAAGAGACGGCAGCAGGGGCGACAGCGCCCAGATCTTCTCCTGTCCCCTGCCCAGCAGTCCAGGGCGAGTGGTTCCAGACCAATGCCCGGGCGACCCCAGGGCCAAAGAATTGAGGCCAGAACCTCCGCGGAGCACTTAGTTGGGCGGGGTCTGCACATTACATACTGCGGACATTAAAGCCTCCTGTGGCGGGACTATGGATTAAGCTCATCAGGGTAACTGACTGCTCTGCAGTGGGCCAGGCATCGGAGGAGAGGGTAGAGCACGTGTCTAGGACAACGAGGCCATCAGGGAGGCCAGAGTCCCTCAGAGGGGCCCCAGCAGTGACAGCATCACCTGGGCCCCAGACCCTCTGAATGGAGAACTCTGCGGGAGCCAGGAAACCTGTGCTTTCGCAAGCCCCGGAGACCCCGACGCACAATAAAATTTGAGATTCTCTGGGCTCAAGGTTTGAGGATTGAGATTCTACTTTCCACACTGCCCGATTATCAAGACCGGAAGCTGAATTAACAGAGAAGAGCTTGTTTATTCCATCTACTGTGCCAGGCACCGTGCCAGGGAACCACAGAGACAGGCTTCCTTGTCCCAAGGACACACAGTCTATCGAAACACAACAGGAAAACAATGATAATGTTATTGTTTTCAATTCCCAATTATTTTCAGTGAAATACACTCATGATTGAGGAAAAGAAGAAAGGAATTAAAGCCATAAGGAAAAATTTATGACGGCATCCATCAATAAATGCAAAATCTTTTTTTTCCAAAAACACCAATAAAATAAACCTCCTGACAAATCTGATCAAGAAAAAAAGGTAATACTTCTAGCTAACACTGACATAGTGCTTAATTATGTATCCTAAGCACTTTATTAATATTTACTCAATGTTCACGGCAACCTGTGACACAGGTGAATATGATAACCTAGGATATGATAACAGAAGACAATGCCATTATTAGCCCCATATTACAGGTGAATAAACTGAGGCGTACGAATGCACGAAATTAGAAGTCACACTTTATTACAGAAATAAAGATTAATGAATGAGAAACATTATGTTTAATGTCGTTAATAAATTTCAAAATCCAAATGGGATAGATAATTCCCCGAGAAGATATAAATGATCAAAATTGATTCAAGAAATGGTAGAATACTTGAAGAGAGACATAACCATGGCGGAAAAAGTGGTCAAAAGTCTGTCTGTTAACATGGGCACCGGGGTGAGGCAGAATGGCAGGCAGGTGGCATGGAGAGGGCTGCAGGACAGAAGCGAGGGCTCAGACAGGGGCAGGCCGAGTTAGGAGGACAGCTTCTGGGGAGCAGCTCCCCCCGCGGGTGTCCAGAGGAGCAGGCTTTGAGGCCAGGTGGGCGGGGAGACACCTGCGAAGCAGAGGGGGCACCACGAGCAAAGCCCAGGGCAGGTACAGCTGGTCCGGGGAAGGGAACGGCCTGAGCGAAACCCTGAGGTCAAGCACGCAGGGCTCCCTAGGGCCAGGCTGGGGGCCCTGAAAGACGGCAGAGATGTCCCCGTGAAATTCATCGTGAAATTCTCCCAGCCGGCTGTCCCGTACTCAAGGAGGAGGGAACCCAGTCTGCCAGTGACCTGGGACTCGGATGTCCCAGGGGTGACCCATGGTCACAGTGACAGCCAAAAGAATCAGAGGCCTGGGCCGTGACACCGTGGGAGGACTCAGAGGTCCCTCGATGCGCAGGAAGTTGTCCTGGCTGGCCAAGCACAGGTTGCGATCTCTGAGCACCTGAACCCAGCTGGACCGGAAGCTAGCCCTGGTCCAGGACTGGCCCTGGTCCTGATCAGCCGAGAACTGCTTTCCTGCTGCAACGAGAGGAACACACCTACGATCGTGCATCTGACCCGAATGCGGTGCCTAGCAACCACCCAAGCATCGAAACCAGTAGCCGCGGCTGAATCACGTGGACAGCCCCCTAGAGCGAGAACAGCTGTCCTGTTTACACACACAGCAATCTGAAGATACTCGTGAGGGCGAGGGCTACAGGCTGCGGGCCTGGCTCAGATGTGTGGCCATCAGAGCCTGGGCTCCCCCAGCATCTGGGAGAAAGCCACCAACTCAAAGGGAAACAGTGAAACGAAGAAAAACGCAAAAGGCTGAACGTGTGACACCTGGAGGTCTCGGTGAGGCTGGAAGGTTGGAGACCCGATAAGCAAAGCACTCCTCCTACCTGGTGACACCCCCCTCCCGGCCCAGAGCACTGGGTGGCCAAGCCGAGGCGGGAACACGGGAAAGATGGAGGGGGCGCCGGCGGGAAGAGAGGCGGGAGCAGGGCAGATGCAGGGCTGAGGGGCAGTGATGGAGGGGAGGAGTATGTCCCCGGCACCATCCAGGGAAGAGAGGTGCCCCACACTCTCTGTGGCAGCCTGCCACAGACGTACACGGCGACCTAGACGGCCCTTCATCACCAGCCAGATGGCCCCACGACATCTGGGGCCGGGTGAATCACCCGAACGAGACCCCTCCCTGGACTCGCGAAGTGCCTGGGAATTATCCACACGCATGTGTCACGGCACCAGAATGCCCGTCACTCACTGACATGCCCCGCTGTAAAGAAGCCAAGGAGTTAAAATCGGGATTTGCAGGCGAGAGGCGATTTCCCCTCATAACGGGCACGCTCAGTGATTTGAAACAGGAAACACGATTCAAAGCAGCAAAGACGTTCGTGTTTCAACGCAGATCTCAGAAAAGGGCTCTTTCCTGAAAAGGGAGACCGTCCGAAGAGCAAAACGGTGACGTTCGAAATTAAGAAAAGGAGACTCTTTTTTTTTAAGTGGAGATTTGCAAACCACTGAAGAGAACTGTCCTAGCCCACAGCTCCCCTCCATCCAGGCCCCACCTCGTCACCAACACCAGGAACGCTGCCCAGCGGGTAAACCCTGGGCAGAGAATTCGACGGCTGACCAGTGAGACTCCAGGGTCATCCACTGGTCCCGGGGGCCTTCGCGGCACACAGGTGCCGGCGTCCATGTGAGCGAGCCCCACGGCTCAGACCACGACCAGAGCTCCCCGGGCCGGGGAGGCTCGCCCTGGGAGCCGAAAGGTAGGTGGGAGCAGCCAGGAGGGGTGAGAGGTCACCAGCCACTGCCACATGAACTGCCAGCCACTGGACGCTCACGCTGAAGGTGAGCAGTGCCGTCCGGCTCGGGCGCACACCCACCTGGCCCCAGCAGGGTGGAGAGAGGACTCTATGCCACCACGCCGGCCATGAGGTCGCTCCCCAGAACTCGGGGCAGAGGGACGTCCCAGGAGGAAGGCGCGTGGCCCTGTCATGTTCTGAATAAATGAAGGCTCTCCCGGAGACTCAGGCCATCTCATCAGCAAAGACTCCTGGAGCCAAAAGTGCTGCAGACGGAGGGGACGGCAGAGCCATGTCGCCACCTAGTGCACCGGAGCAGCCTCAGCAGCTGAGAGTCCAAAAACCCTGAACCGGGAGAGAGCTGGCTGGACTCACGTGCCGCGGAGCCCTCCAGAGGCCGTGTCCTCCCATGCAGCGGAACCTGGGACCAGAGGCGGCCGGAGTGGCGTCTAGTGTGACACTCTGCACAGGACGGGGACCCGTGAGAATAGGCGAAGGGTGAGCAGCAGCTGCTGATGTTGCAGCCGAGGGGGAGGCAGCTGGACACCCGCCTTGCACCCTGCGGCTCAGACACGACGCCCCAGTCCAGCGCAAAGTGCCGTTCTCCCTCCGCCGAGCTTTCGGGTGGGGCCTTCGTTTCAGCCCCAGAGGCCAGGCCGCGCCCCATGCCACACACAGCTCTCCCCACGTCCCCACGCCGGCTTACAAAAAGTCGAAGCTGCAATTCAATTCTGAAAACACTCATGTCCCAACTCACTGAGAGCTAACAGTACTGACCCAGGGGTAGGTCAGTGCCGTCCCCAACCCTACACAAGCATCACTTCTGCGGTCCCCACAAGCTCCCCCCAAGTTCATACTCAGGACGCGGAGCCAGGAAGTAGCAGAGGGACTCAAGCTCGGGCAGGACCCGCCTGCCCGGTGCCGGCATGCCACACTGCCTCCCCAGCCCTGGGGCCCGGCCCTCCGCCTCCCGCCATGCTGCTCGAGACCCACTGAGGGGTCCACGAGCAACAGCGCCTAGTCCCAGCTCTCTGGACTCTCCCACAAGGTCACCTCTGGCCCCGAGAAGCTCACGCAGCCACAGAGAGGGCCCCGGAAATGGGAGAGGACACACATGGACTTCCGGTCTCAGGTCAGTCCCAGCTGACCTTGTCCTGGGTGGAGGCCATCTGGGAGAGGCCCTGGAAAGTTCCAAGAGGCATGAGCACAGTCCAGCCATCAGCCACCAAGTAGTGATCTCTGGGGCGTCCCCCCCCCTAAACTCAGCAGGGCTCTGTCCTCACCCTGCTGGTCCCCACTCCAGCCACCAGGGGCCTTGGGCATAGGGGACAGCCAGACCCCTGTTGGAGGGCCTGGAGGGTCTGTGCTTCCCGGCACCAGGCCACTTCTGCTCCTGGCGTGGCCCCTGCGCTGGGCACCGGTCAGTGCAGCTTGGTGGCCGAGGGTCAGCCTGGCTTCGTCCCGCTCTGCTGCCTGTTTGTCCCACAGAGGGTCACAGCACTGGGCAGCCGTGGTGGGGTTCAGCACACACTTCCTGCCCCCACTTGGCCCAGACTGGACAGCCAGGCAAACCCGCCCTGGGTCCTTGGTCCCCTCAGAGTCATGGAGATAATGAGGTCTTCGCCCTCCCACAGGAAGCGCGAAGCCCAGACCCCAAGTACAAGATCAGAGACCACAGCGATGTGCGCAAGGCTTCGCGGGAAACTCCGTGAGCAAACGAGGAAGCCACACGGGATAAACGTTCGGAAAACCTCGTGTGGTCACGAAGTCACATGGGAGGTGACCAGTCAGCTCCACCTAGAGCTTCACCTCGGGGCCTGTAGCAAGCGACACACACCGATGCAGCATGCACGCCGTGGGACAGCAGGAGTGACACACACCGAAGCAGAATCGTGGTTTTAGATTTAAATGCAAAGTACATTCCTCCTGGCTCCTTTTCACCAATTATTCTCGTGTCCCTGGCCAGAGGGACAGGAGGCCATCGTGACATCACTTCCTTCCAGCCTTGCTGGCCACACAGGTCCACTGGGAACCCCGCCCCACACGCCCTACCCAGGGCCTCAGGTGGGCACGACCCTTCCCTGCGGAAACCACGCAGAAAGTCGCTCTGCAGTGGCCACACACCCAGGACGCTCACAGGTCCCCGAGAATCACTCAGAACGTCCCCCTGCAGTGGCCACACGCCCAGAGTGCTCATGGGGCCCAGAAATGCCCCCTCTGATGGGGACCTAGACTCACGGTCACCCCGAAGTCCGGGGACATGGAGCTCCAGATGGCACCAATGCTTGCAGCAGCCAGCATGGCCTCCACGGCATGCTCACCGTTGGGTAAGTAACCTGCAGAGAGGACACAGACAAGAAGCGGTGGGTTCAGGGTGCGCTGGATGAAGGCACCCCGAGAGCAGGCGGGAGTGGGGAGAGGGGCTGGCTCTGAACTCCGATGAGCCCCGCCAGCCCTGCCCCTCCCCACCCCTCCTCCCCAGCTGCCTCGATGTCACTCTTTGGATGACCCTACTGCCACTTCCTATTGTCACCCCCTCTGGCCCATTCTCTGTGCTCTAATCAGTGGCCCCCGCAGCCCTGCACGCCCCTGCTCCCTCCGCTTCTCGGCTGCACCTCCCACTCAGGCTGGGCCATGACAGCCCTCTTTCATTGCTTTAGTTGGTCTAAGTTCCTCCTGCCTCAGGGCCTTTGCACGAGCTGCCGGCCCTGCCTGGACACTCTTCCACACACACCAGGCTTCCCCGCTCAGGGCAGGCTCACCCTTCAGCTCAGAACCCAAACAAAACTTTCTCAGAGAAGCCTTCCCCTGAACCCAAGTCCCCCAGGCAGTCACCCACAAAGCACACTGTATTTCTCCCTCACCAAATAATTTCCTCCTTACCAAAATAATCCTCAATACACAGTAATCATACCTGGCTATTTAATATCTGGTTCTCGGGTGAGCGCAGGGGCTTCGTCTGCCATGTTCTTTACTGTGCCCCACGTATCAAGGCCCTCAGATGTTGGACTGATGGCTGGCAGATGGATGGATGGATAGATGGATGGGTGGATGGACAGATGGACTAGTAGACAGACTGAAGGATGGAGAGTTGGACGGATGGAGGGACAGATGGATTGATGGACGGATGGATGGACAAATGGGTGAGTAGGGCTGGATGGATAGATGGATGGATGGATGGATGGATGGACGGACAGACGGATGATGGACAGATAGGTGAGTGGGTAGGGGTGGGTGGATGGATGGATGGATGGATGGATGGATGGATGGATGGATAAATAGTGGGTGAGGGTAGGTGTGGGGTGAATGGGTAGGTGGGTAGATGGACAGATGATTGGGTGGGTGGGGATGGATGGATGGATGGATGGATGGACAGACGGACAGATGGATGGATGGATGGATAAATGGTGGGTGGGGGTATGTGGGGTGAGTGGGTAGGTGGGTAGATGGACAGATGATTGGGTGGGTGGGGATGGATGGATGGATATGGATGGATGGATGGATGGACGGACAGACAGACGGATGATGGACAGATAGGTGGGTGGGTAGGGGTGGGTGGATGGATGGATGGATGGATAAATAGTGGGTGAGGGGAGGTGGGGTGAATGGGTAGGTGGGTAGATGGACAGATGATTGGGTGGGTGGGGATGGATGGATGGATGGGTGGATGGATGGATAGAGAGGAAGGAAAGGGGAATGGAGCATATGAGCAGGGCAGTCAGAGACACACAAACTCCCATGAGGGACAGGGGAAGGGGTCAGGCCCTCCATCTAGTCGGAGGCTGGGCTACGGCCAGAGAGACTGCGATCACTTAAACAGATCACCCGAAACGTTCCAGGGGAAGGATCTGTGACCACCACCAGGGAGCAGGGGGGCCAGGGCCAAACGCCTCCCCGGCAGCCACCAAGCCCAGCAGGCTGCAGCACCCAGGAGCCCCTGGACGCCCCCTTGTCCCTCCTCTCACTTGACCACCCCAGTTGACACTTCCACTTTGGGGGTTCACTGCATCTGCCCTGCCCAGCCACGGCACCCCAAGGGGCAGGGGTCATGGTCCCCAGGGCTCCGCACTGCATCTGGCACAGGGCGGGCCCGATGTTTGCTGCGGCAGAGATGAGTATAAACTGAAGCGTCTGGATGGTGCCATTGCCCGGGGGCAGGGCAGACTTACTGCCCAGGGCCGCAAGAGCCAGCCGACTTGGTGGAGACTGACCAATGACCAGGATACGACCACATCACAGACATGAGAAACTGAGCCAGGGACAGCTCTGACTCCATCTCTGAAGCCCCCAAGCTCCTCTCCACCCGCTCCTCCCCTGGGATCACTCCTCATGCTCTGTCCCAAGAAGCGCTACTGACCGTTGTCAGGCAAACTACTGTCCAAGCTGAGACGCCCGAAAAGGGCAGGTCACCAGGTGCCAAACTGATTTTGGAAAGTCCAGGGCACCAAAGCCAGGTGTCCCCAAGAGACAGCATGGCCAAGAAGGGGCTCGACCGTCTTCCCCAACACACCTTGTTCTCTGTCTCCCCATCTCTCAGAAATGCATGCTTCGAAGGGGGATTTATAAAAACGAAAATTGGAGGGAAGAAAAAAAATGGGAGAAGAAACTTTAAATTCCTTTTCCAGGCCTGACAAGGGAACAGATTAAACTGGACCAAGAGGAACCCAAGAGACTGAGGTTCCAACCGCAAAATTATCTGGTCACTGGCACAGCTCTCATTCATTTATTAAATAAATATTCACTGTCCACCTACTGCACGCCAGGCTGAGACACCAGACAGGCAGTGAGCGGAAGACAAGGTCCTTGTCCTCTAGTACTGAAGGACAGACGGACGCGCGCACACAGAATCCTGTGATTTCGGGCGGGCGACAGGATAATGAAGAAGAATAAAGCGGGGTGCAAGGGGAGAGCGACGATGGATTTGTCCATAGGATTTTCCCTGGGGGGGCCTCTGGGGGGGAAACGTGTGAGCCGAGACCTCGCCGAACCAGGGGGACCCGCGGATATGCAGGAGAATGATCACCGAGGGGCAGCTTGGTGTATCCCTTGACACCTGATTCCTTTCTAGTCAGCTACACATAGTGAGCAGTGACCCCAAGCCCGTCTGACATGGGTTGACATGGGGTCCAGCCCGTTTGCCTGGTTTATATATGATAAGGCCACCCAGCTCTCTGCCTTCTTGGCAAACACACTCTGAACGCCCCCTTGCGGTAAGTTCCCCTGGGAGCGGCGCGCCCACGCCAAACGCCGAGGTCCCAAGGCCACTGCCACGCCTGCTGCCACGCTGGCTGCTGTGGCCCTGGCCCGTGACTGAGGGGGCCAGGAGGAGGGCGGCCTGGCACCTGGGCAGCATGGAAGTAAGCCGTCGTATCTTTAGCGGCTCCCCGCTGTGTGCAGACCAACCCACACCCAAACCAGCTCAAGTTCCCTGGGACAGAGAACAGGTCCACGCACAGGTCTTTCAACTTTTCCTAGACGTCAAAGTGAAAAGAAAATGATAAGGAAAACACCTGAGCTGCCCTTGGGAGGATGTCACGACCCACCAGGACGCCTGAGGGAGCAAAGGGAGAGTGGGCTCAGGGCCACCAGCCGAGACGGGGACCTTCCAGGACACTGGGCCCTGAACGGCCCCACCCCTGCGTTCCACACCCCCTGGGGCCCACCCAGGCACCCCTCAGACACCCTGCTCGCCAGGCTCAGAGCCTTTGCACAGGCCGTTTCTTTCTGCAGCCGAGACTGCCCTCCCCTCCCCCGCCCCAGCACAGGGCTACCTCCTAAAGACCCCTCGCTAACCCTGTCACCCAGTACTCGCTGCACACCCCTGACACTCGGGGACCTGTTTTAGGGCTACTCAGGATGAAAGGGGTAGGACAGGGAGGGCTGTGAACAGAAGGTTCAGAGGCAAGTCACCTCACAGGGCGACCCCATCGTAAATTCCTCACTGGCCGGTCATGGCCTATCCCTTCTGCAGTCAAGGCCCGTCTTTGCCACAGGCCAGCCCTGGCCGCTGTTTCTGTGCGGCCAGGTGAACACACCTTGGAAATGCTTCTTTTCAGACCCCCGTTTCTAATACGAGACCACCCTTTGAGACCCTTCCTCCTAACAAAGCCTGCAAGAGAGCAAACAGTCTTAACCACCCCGCGATCCCGCCTGCGTCTGGCTCGCTCCCACCTCCAAGCATGTTCCCTTATGTCCCCTCCTTAATCTCGAACGCATGAAAGAACCTGCAAACTGTTATTCTCTGAAGCGTTTATCTCCGTCTGCTGCGATCCTGCTTCCGGGTGCATCCTCTCTTTGGCTCAGATAAGTTTTCGTAAAAATTCTCTCCAGGCTTGGACGTTCTTACGTGGACAGGACATGGAGCACGTGGAGAACGCAGGGAAGGTGAGCAGGAAGCCCGCGCGGGGCCGCCCGCCTGGTTCCAGGCCCTCCTCGCCACCCTGAGGGCCGCGAGTGCCATCGTATAGCCAGAGGACAGAAAAGCCCTTCTCTTTGGTTTGAGAGCAAAACCTGAGTCCGGTCCTGGGAATGAGCGCCTTAACTCCATCTCGACAGCACAGCAGAAAGCACTCAGAAAGAACCTCAGGCCGACCCGGACCGGAAACCGTCACTGGGTGCTATCCTCGTCATCGCCACTGGCCTCACTCTAGTGACGACAGGCCAGGGCCAAGGAGGTACGCGTAACCTCTCTGCCCAGAAAAGATGCTCAACAACCAGCCAGTTCAGCCTCTCTCTGCCGCCCCGCTTAAAGATGAAGAAACTCGAGGTCCAGGGAGGAGAAACTCCCAGTCCAAACCCACACACCCGGCCCATGCCGTGAAACAGATGTCACGGCTCCAGGGAGCCTGGGGCCCTCAGAAGCTGCTAAACAGGCCACACTGAGGCCGTTACGGCCACACTTTCAACGACCTTCCTTCTTTGTTTATTGTTTGCCACGCATGTGCGGTTGAAGTCCTAAGGCTGTATATTTTGTGACACGACTCAAAAGCTGTCCCAACCTTCCAAGCCATTCCCTCTGCCCCGGTCTCCTCCTCGCCCGGAACCACGACAAGCACCAAAAATGCTTACCGACGACCCGGTCTCCTTTTTCCACACCCATTTTCCTCATGGCCGCTGCAAACAAAGCCACTTGCTGTCGCAGCTCTTCGAAAGTCACCTTCACGATTTCCTCTTTGTCTTCTCCTGGAAGGAAAAAAAAAAAAGGACAGAGCATATGGAGACCGTCCTAAAAGGAAAGGTTCTGAGTCCCCGACACGGATGAAAACTCACGCCTGTTTAAGTGCGGGTTGGGAGTACGCGCCCGGGGAAAGGTTACAGAAACGCAGGGGATGCGAACGAAGATGCAGGTTTGCTCGACTTTATAGAAAAAAAAAAAAAAGGCGGTGTGAAAATCAGCCGAAGAAGCGCACTCACGGAATTTGCCATTAAAAAGGATTTTTTTATTATTGGGAGTGCTTAAGTGAAGAATCCTTTGATTTTGGTCACGGTTTTTTTGTCTGTTTTTGTTTCTTTTTTAACTTTTCATTTCGAAATGATGACAGATTCCCAGAAAGTTGCAAAGGTAGTACAGCTACCTTTCACCAAGTTTCCCCGCAATGATGACAGATTCCCAGAAAGTTGCAAAGGTAGTACAGCTACCTTTCACCAAGCTTCCCCGCCGCCGGTTACATCTTACATAGCTCTAGTACAACGTCAAAGCCAGGAAACTGACATTGATTCAATGTGGCCTTCGTCCTGGTATACTGTTTCCTCCAACACCACCACAACCGAGACCCCAAACATTCCCATCGCCACAAAGATCCACCTACTGCCACCCTTTTATGGTCACCCCACCACAACCACCACCAACCCTGCCCCTGGCAACACTAATCTATTCTCCATCTCTAAAATCTCATTTCGAGAATATTAGATGAACGCAATCACAGTAGACGGCCTTGGAGATCGGCTTTTTCTACTCAATGCAACGCCCTCATGATGCATCCAAGCTGTTGCATGCGTTGACAATTCGTTCCTTTTGATTGCTGAGTACTATTCTAACTTTGGTTTGTTTTGTTGTTGTTGTTGTTGTTGTTGTTTGGGATCTGTATGTGTAATGTGAGCTCACTGTAGAAAACTGACATTGCAAACAATGTATATGAGTGAGAAAATAAAATCATCAGCCTCACTCACTATCGAAGAAATGTGCATTCAAACAGTGAAGTATGACTTTTCGCCTAACAGGTTGGTAAGAATGGAGTGGTAGCCAGCCTCCAGTGGCCCCCACGATCCCTGCCTCTGGTGTTCGTGCTCTCGTGGTCCCCCTGACATTGAATGGGTCCAACCTGGATAACCAACAGGATGTCACGTAAATGACAGTGACTTCTGAGCCTTGGCCGTAAAAGGCACCACAGCTTCCGCAGGCCTCACTCTGGGAACCAGCCACCATGTCGTGAGGACACTCCAGCGGCTCATGGAGATGGCCATGTGGTAAGAAACCGGGGCCTCAAACAGCCACGGGAACGTGCCATCTTGGATGTGCGTCCGCCAGCCCCGGTCCAGCCTTCAGCTGACTGCACCCCCTGCCGACACCTTCGCTGCAGCTCGCCAGCTAAGCCACAGCTGAATGCGTGACCCACGGAAACTGTGAGACAATACGCGCTTACTGTTTTAGACCACGTTTTGGGGTAATTTGTTCCTCGGCAATAGAAAATGAAGACGGTGAAGCTTTAATGTTGCAAAGGTATAGGAAAATTATTTGAATGTACTTTCTACAGGAAACATGTCAATCTTCTGCCCATTATCTTTGATGCAAATTCCTGTTGGCTAACTGCTTTTCAATTCTACGATGTGAAGTCTCTCTTTTCCCTTTGGTATAAATGTGGCTTTTCCTACTTGCTTAAAGTTATACATCCCCGCCCATTCTTTTCTGGCCTCACTGGGCAATTACCTCGCCCACAGTCCCCCGCCAGATAATTTTCTATCCTACAAAAATACTCAGGAACCTGAAATCCACTGTTCAAAGACAAAATGTGCTGAGCAGGCAGCTGTCTAATAACGTAAACACTGACGGGCTGATGCTCATCGCTTCGGCTCCACTCTCGAGCACGAAGGCGACAGTGCACACACTTGCCTTCCCGCCGGCGCTGACCTCACGGGAACTCCATGTGGGAAGGGTGAGCTGTGCTGAGAAGGCCTGACCGAGCACAGAGCGGAAGCGCGTGAGGACCCGCATACAGCTAGGAGAGTAGGGAGCAATCCGGAAAAATATGCAGACCAGGAAACACAATGATTTTCAAGTCCCCAAGTCAATCATCAGCCCATTCAGGGTCCTGCTGGAGAAAGATATCCATTGGTAAACTGAATTTGATCCCTCGGTCGAGGGCATTTAGTCCCATGCAAATACGAGGAGCGGGGAGCTCATTAAAAGAAAGGGTTCAGATATTTAAAAAGGAGGAGATGGCGGGGTGGGGAGGAAAGAGGGCACAGGGAGAGAAGTGTGAAACAGACACAGCCAACCTTTTAAATATGCTACATCCCACTGAACCACACGCTTTAAAGGGGTGGATTTTATGTCATGTGCCTTCTAGACGCTGAGCCCACCAGGCACTTCCTGTAAGTCTCCTACACTGTCCCCACAATTTTACAAAAGAGCCATCCCTGCCCCGAGTCAGAGGAGCCACTTGGGGACCCAGAGATGGCGTGCCTAGCAAGCTCTTAAGTTAGACTTTCTCCCCTCCCAGAGTGCGACCTCTGTCTATTCTCTAGCCGGCAGCCAGGGTCACCGTCAGATCACAAGCTCCCTTGCTCAAAATCCTGATGACAGCCCACAGCCCTCGCGCGGCTCCGAACTCCTAGCTCCAAACTCCTGGCCGAGGCCTTCGAGGCCCCCCGCCGGCCTTGCTGACACATGTCCTGTCGTCAGGACCATGGCGCCTCCCTCGCTGTTCCCCATCCCCTGGGGCTCACCCTGGCCCAGGGCCTTCCATCTCGCTGCTCCCCGTGCCTGGAATGTTCCCCCCTCACCTTAACAAGTCCTGCTCGGGTCTCACCATCTCCAAGCAGGCAGCCCTGGCAGCCCCGCTGGAAAGAGCGCTGCTCCCCACCTGCAATCCCTCTCCCATACGGTGTTTTGTTTATTCTTCCGCATGCTTCGAGCCCGCTGGGAGTTTACTACACGTGTTTTCATATTTATTGTTTCCCCAGTGGAATGTCAGTCCCATGAGAGCAGGGACCTCTCCTGTCCTGTTCAACGCTGTCTTCCCAGCACCTTGCACAGAGGAGGCGCTTGATACAAAGCTGAGAAACAAGTAGGTGGGTGGGTTCATGGGTGGATGAATGGGTAGGTGGAAGGATGGATGGATAGACGGATGGACAGAGATTGATAGAAGAAAAGACGGACAAATGGATGGATGGATGGGTGGTTTGGGCAAGTGGATGGATGAATGGATGAATGGATGGGTGGATGGGTGGATGGATG